GTTGACGCTGCCTCTTGATTTATACTTCGATGCGTACTTGGTCTCGACTATAGCCGATCTTCCCTCTCTTAGCCCACTTCATCTTTCGGGCACCTACACACCTTCGTACACAAGACACTCCGACAGCGCTTACGCAGGGCTCACAGGCAGAATGAATAATGTGTTGACGTTGCCTCTTGATTTATACTTCGATGCGTACTTGGTCTGGTCCTATCGGCCCAGGCCCAGATGTGCTCAGTCCCACTTGGCACTTGCTAACTAGGACAGGTAGACACCTGACTGGGAACCGCTGACTGGACGTAGGTAGGACTGCCCACTTGCCTACGGACTACTCCAACAGCTCACGAAGGGACACTGTAGATACATCTAGAAGACTCTAGCCTAGGCGTAGTTGACCGTTCGACACTGTAGCAGCTACAGACCAGATTGACCTTTTGGTACTGTAGCAGCCACGACTTACTAACCTACGACTCCTAACCTACAGGTAGGCAGATCGAACCCACGCAACCTACGTATGTATAACAGCCTCAAAACACACATCTTGAGGGGCAGGTCACGGGTTCAAGCTCAGATAGGGCAAACTATACTATTCACGGGATAGGGGCAGGTCTAGGGATCAAGCCCTGGGACTGCGAATGTCACTTACTTGGGTGAATCCGTTTCAGACGCTGATACACAAATCAACAACTCTTCGCCCCCAATAGACCGCCTGGTCATTATATCTGCATTTCGGGCAAATTTTGGTGCAGATGCAGCGGAGCAGCGGTAGCTGCATATGGGGCAAATTTCGGCCTAGATGCAGCAACACCAACTTTTCGCCTCCCTAGTAGGTTGGCAGGGCGGAGACAGCCACCATCAAATCTATTTCATTTCCTTTAGCAAAATTTGGTTCTTATCAAAAGAATTCAAAAGTGGCAGAAGCGGCACCTTCACTCGCTGTGGTGACCGACGGTTAACAGCAATGTCACTTCCTCATGTCCTCAGTTGGTGGATTTGAAACCTCTTTTCACCCCTCTCTCTCTCTCTCTCTCTCTCTCTCTCTCTCTCTCTCTCTCTCTCTCTCTCTCTCTCTCTCTCTCTGTGTGTGTGTGTGT